ATGTCTGCAAAGAGCCAAAACCGCCTACGGCAGTTACCACAATGACTATGACAACCTCAATAGCTGGCTTTCTCGAATACCAAACTATGAGCCACGTGAAACTGATGGCATCAGACAGATTGATGAAAAAATGAAAAATCAAAGAGTAAGACTTCAGCCATTTCTGTCATGACAATAATGGAATTATGTTACAAATGACATTTATTGACCAAAACTGTCTTTTGAAATGTACAGAATCTGCTCTCTGACATCACAAGAAAGGAATCAGACCTAAACAATGTGTCTAGAAATGCACAGCTTTATCAGCAAGCAATCAAGGTACAAAAATCAGTGTATTACAGAGCATTATCCTACTATCATGTTTATGCAAAGCCATGTGAACTCCTTTGTGTCGTGGCTTTCAGGACTACGAAAACGAAGCGGAGCAGTTTAAATCCATCCTTGACCTTGAAGATGGCTTGGTTCCTCAGACATACAAAAGGAGCAGACTTGAATCTCCTGCCTTGAAAGTGAAGAGAGAGGTGAATATTTTCACAAAGTAAACGGTTTCCTGGATACCTTTTACCGACGGTTTCTCTGACTGGTAAAGTGAAACATGATTGTTGTGTTTTAAAAGGAATCTGCAATTGAGGCCAAGTTCACTGAAGTGAATGCTGTGAACAAGCAGAGACTGCAGAACCTGGAGTTTGCTCAAAGCCTTCTTAACCAGGTAAAACACATTGCAACATACACCATGCATAAAAATAAGCATAGTATGGCATAAGCATTGCGTTTGCTTTTTAACACATTCAATATTTTTGCAATTCATTGCAGCAACCAGAAGTTACAATAATCCAGCAAAATGTCCAGACGGTGAGATCCTCAGCCCCAGGAGAAGAGCCCTGGAGAATCAGAAAACAGCTTCAGGAAGAAATTCAGCGGAGAGACCAAATGGAAAGAGAAATTCAGAGTGTCCAGAGTGACATCTATTTACTAGAGGGCCAGAAACCGCAGGATACAATCGTCAAGAAAGAGCTCATCAAGAAGGTGCCTGACCCTCAACTTGAAGAAGAATATCACCGGGTTCAGCAGAAGCTCTTAGAAGAAAGCAGGACCACTCGTGTATTAGAGAGTGAATTGGACACACTCCGTGTAAAGCTGCGTGGGATTGAGACCGAAATGAAAGAAGGAGCTCAGCAGTATACAGTCAAAGAGGTGCTCCGCATTGAGAGGGACAGGGGACAGGAGGAAGAACTCAGGAGACTGAGAGAGGAGCTAGAGGAAGTCAAGAGGATGAAGATGGTCAGAGAGAATGAAATCATTCAGATTCAAAAGCATGTGACTATTCTTGCAGAGGAGAAAAACAGGGAGCAGGAAATCATCAGGGAGGAGGAAGTCATTAAGGTTCAAAATGACCCTCAACTTGAGAGTGAGTACAGACTATTGCTTGACAGGAAACAAAAAGATATAAACAGCCGAAAGGAACTCGAAGACGAGCTTCGATTCCTGCAGGAGAAACTAAGGCGTCTTGAAAAGGAAAAGGCAATGGCTGAGGAAAAGATCTCCATCAAAGAAGTACTGAAAGTTGAGAAAGATATTGCTTTGGACAGAGAGGTAGAGAACCTGAGAAGACAATATGAAGATGAAAAAACCAAGCGCAGCTCTTTGCTTAGAGAAAAAACGGACATTCATCGGAAGATTACTAGCCTGGAGGAAGAGAAGTCGAAGGTCATCATTCAGGAGAAGGTGCGTGAGATTGTTCGACCCGATCCGAAGGCGGAAGCGGAGGTGGCAAATCTTCGACTTGACCTGGTGGAGCAGCAGAGAAGATGCAGAGATTCAGAGCTCCAGCTGAAGACCTTCCACGATGAACTGACAATGCTAAGAAACAGAGGCCCACAAATTGAATACACAGAGATCATCAAAGAGGTCATCAAATACAAGATTGACCCAGAAACAGAAAGAGAACTGGAGAAACTCAGGAATGAAATTGTTGACAAAACCCACCAAACAGAGAAGTTCGAGATGGAGATCCTCCAACTCAAAGAGGAGATTCAAAGATGGAAAGACACCAAGCCTCAGATTCAGACCAAAGAGGTTGTAAATGAGATCCTTCAATACAGAGAAGATCCTAAAACCAAGGAGGAGATTGAGAGTATCAAGAGAAAATTGGCTGAGGAACAGAGGAAACGTTTGGACCTGGAAAACGAAAGGGCCTCCAATGAAGAAAGGATCAGGATTAAGAAGATCGACTTGTCACAGGTGAGGGAAAAGATTGTCCAGCAAGAAGTAGTGAAGATGGAGCAGGATCCACTCTTGAGGTCTGAATGTGACACCTTCACTCAAAACATCAACAATGAGCAGAAACAGAGAGAGATCTTGAAAGAAGAGCTGATCAGGATGCAGCATCAAAAGACCGAATTGGACATTCAGCTTGAGGAGCTAGAACGTGAACGCAGAGCCCGCAGAGAAGCTGAGATTGAAATTCAGAGACTGAGAGTGCGGCTCAATGAACTAGAGATCAGGGACAAGGAAAACAGAGAAAAGGTTACAGTAAAGCAAAAGGTCGTACTCCAGCAGGACCCTCAACAAGAGAAAGAGCACTCTATCCTACGTCTTCAGGTTGAAGAGGAGAGGCACAAGCGTATGCTCTTTGAGAAGGAGTTTAATGTCTTGTTGCAAAAGCAGGAAATAATTGAGAGAACAGAAGTGCGTGAAAAAGTTGTGCGAACCGAAAAAATTCAAGTCGAACGAGACCCAGAGGCCGAGATGGACATTATAAGGCTGATGAAAAGCCTTGAAGAAGAGGAAAAGCGGCGTCGTGAACTGGACCAAGAGATTATCAACCTAAACTCGAAGCTTTCGGAGATCGAGTTCACCAATACAAAATCATCCAAAGAACTCGACTACATTCGCGATGAAAGCAACAGGTTACAGCAGGAGAACCAGCGCCTACAGAACGAATTAAGGAAGCTTCACTCCGAAATCGAGATCACCACAAAAGAAACCAGACACATCACTGAGACTTCCCCGGTGGAAAACAGCAGGAACCTGGAAATTCGATTGGAATCCTTGCAAAGAGAACTCTCTGACCTCAAGCGCATCAGAATCGAGAAAGACGAAGAAATCGAAAAGCTTCAGAAGAGTCTGTCTGCAATGAGAGTGAAGAGGGAGCAGCGAGAAAGTCATCTCCGCCGCTCAATTGTCGTCATCGATCCAGACACCGGAAAGGAGATGAGGCCTGAGGAGGCTTACAAGCTTGGCCTAATCGACTGGAAAATGTTCGTCAACCTTCAGAGTCAAGAATGCGACTGGGAGGAGATCACAGTCAAGGGTCCGAATGGCGAGTCCTCTGTTCTTCATGACAGAAAATCGGGCAAGAAGTTTTCCATTGAAGACGCTCTGAGGGCTGGAAACATCACAAACCGTCAGCTGCAACAATATCAGAACAAAGAGATAAGCATCCAGGAGTTCGGTGTCATGCTGTCAGGCAGAGGCAAATAAATCCATTCATCAGAAAAACAACATAAAATTTTATATTCTGTTTACTTGGTTTAAGATCTTAAGTAAACATGCTGTTTGTGTTCCCAAATTGCAGTTGAAATCTCTTTTTATTTTCACTTACTCAATACAGTATGTATTTATTTTCAAGTGCATTCTTATATCAATGCAAGATGGTGTTCCTTTGGTTATGGTGCTGAATTTGGGTTAATGTTACTATCACTATACCTATGAATCTTCATTGAAGATTAGCAGACGAGACACTGAGAATGTTTTACTGAAATCTAGTTCAGTTTTACCGTAATCTGATCTAATGTACGCATATAAAATGTGTGCCTGAATGATAGTCATGGCCCTGTCAGTCTCTCTTTATGCACTTTTTACTTGTGTCAGATTATTCTACTTTCATGTTTGATTTAAGATAAAAAAAAAATGAAATGTGGATAAATCTGAGTACTGTTCTTTCCATTCATCGTAATCATGAAGTAATAAAAGCTCAAACTGTCTTTGCAATCACTTTTTAGTTAACAACCTTTAGTTGTCTTTCATCTATGGTTTAAACGGCTCTCAAACAATATACACCCACACAAATATAAATAAATAAAAGACTGAAAATTTTTGATTACTTAGACTCCATTTTAAATTATTAATATTTACATTTTGAAAAGAGCAAAAAGTAGACTTTGATGCTTGTTTTGCAGGACTTTATTTTAAATTTCAGAAATAAAAAGTAATAAGTAGGCTACATCAAAAGTTAAGTACATTTTGCAACTTCACATGAGCTTTATCAAACGCTGATACGGTCAGTGTCATTTCTATCACATCTTTAATTATGTATTGTGTTTAGTAGCATTAGAAATTACATTTTTATACATATTTGGAATAAAACAGCCTATATTTTAAGGCTCGATTTAAAAAAAAAAAAAACATTTTCTCCCAAATAAACATAGTAATTTCACACCTTTTCCAGTATTTTAATTTTAACATAAGTTGACAAAATACTAATTAAAAAAATTTATTTACACTTTATATGAACGTTTATTTTTATTAGTTTTCACTTTTCACCACACATATGTCTTAAATTTGTTCCCAAGCTTGAATGACACTTCATTTCTCCTTCATATCCAAACAGACCTGGAATAACCTTTTGGGGTTATTTCACATAAATCATTTGCATACAATGTCGAACGAATTTAGTCTATTTCTCTCTTGGTTTACATCAATATAAAGTATCTGAAGAAAGAGAAATAACCGTTCGTTCAACTATTTAGAACTATACAGGAGTTGGAGGCTTATAAAGACGCTTTCAAAACTTATGTTCATTTTTCTCTTCATAACTTCACCAGAACCTGCTGTTTAAAAACACATGGAGCTGGTCACGTGTCCCCATTTACTCTGCTAGTGAGCGATGAGCGAAACTACAACGCTTGTAGTGACAGCTGATTAAAGAGACGAGCGCGTACTACTTTGTCGCGTCGCGTCGCGTCGCGTCGCTCAGTAGTAGCGGTAGATGGGTGTAGTGGGTGTGTTCATTCCCTGCATTCAGTGCGACGTTTCTCGCTAGCAGTTTAAGATGGCGACCGTGCATCTAAGGATCGGGGATCTGGTTTGGTAAGATAACTATTTTAACTTCTCACGATTTAATTTCACGTCGAGGCATTTTGTCGTGGCTGCAATCAAATGTTTTGTTAAAAATCTAGCATATAGGCCCAGTTTATGTGTCGTCATGCCAAACACTGAGTAGCAGTCTTGAGAGAGCTTAGCATACAAGCTAACGATTACTTATATGCTTTTTGAGAGAAAAAAAAGTGCTGTTAGTGTGTTTAACGCTAAAGGAAAGTTTCATCTTTGTTTTAGATCTGTAATTGTATAAACAATTAATGTAATACAAGCTTCAGTGCAGTTAGGGGGCAGTTTGCTGATGGGGTCGAAACGGGGTAACGTTACGCTATAAACTAGCGTTAGCTTGTTTCGAGGCACGAGATTAACGCTAATAAACGCTCAATCGTGTCACGTTTTATTTAAAATAGTAACTTATCGTCTCATTATATATTTCAGGGGTAAACTTGGACGCTATCCACCTTGGCCAGGAAAGGTAAGATCTTTTCATGTGTTAAACGATTGAGTTGAACGTCTGTTGTTTTTCTGAGGGCAGCTGTTGGCTTTTGCATATAGAGGTCAAAGTCACCGGCTGTGTTAAAAACCTAGTGAGCTAACTATCTAGAAAGCGTTTTTAGTCGATTTTAATCAAATCAAAGCAAGAATGCTTCAAATTAAACGTTCAAACATGTCCAGAAAGGCTTTCTGTTTACAGTTCTCTGAGATACAGCTACTTTATCAGCAGACTGTTTTGGATAATGTGTTGAGTTTTCATTTACTGATCCCTAACCATTGTGTTTTCAGGTCGTCAGTCCTCCGAAGGATCTGAAAAAGCCAAGAGGCAAAAAATGTTTCTTTGTCAAGTTTTTTGGAACTGAAGATCAGTGAGTACAGAGATGATCGTAGTCTTTTACCATCACTTCCTCTTGTTTGCAGAGGATTTGAGAGGTTAAACTAAGCAGATGTTGACTTTTGATATGCTTTGCCCTTTTAGCGCCTGGATAAAGGTAGAGCAGCTGAAGCCTTACCACCCCCACAAAGAGGAGATGATCAAGATAAACAAAGGCAAGCGCTTCCAACAGGCTGTTGATGCAGTTGAGGAGTACCTAAAGAAGGCCAAGGGGAAAGATCAGGTTAGTATATTCACAAATTTGTGGTCTTGTTTCCATCTTGGCTTTTCCGTGATCTGGTCATAAGCGGTCAGCTGAGGTGCATACTGTTTTCTAGCTGGTATTAAAGGGATACTCCACCCCAAAATGAAAATGTTGTCATTAATCACTTACCCCCATGTCGTTCCAAAACCGTAAAAGCTTTGTTCGTCTTCGGGAAAACAATTTAAGATATTTTGGATGAAAACCGGGAGGCTTGTGACTGTCCCATAGACTGCCAAGTAAAATACACTGTCAAGGTCCAGAAAAGTATGAAAAGCATCGTCAGAATAGTCCATCTGCCATCAGTGGTTCAACCATAACGTTATGAAGCAAGGAGAATACTTTTTGTACACGAAGAAAACAAAAATAACGACTTTATTCAACAATTACAAAAAGTATTATCGTCGCTTCATAACGTTACAGTTGAACCACTGATGGCAGATGGACTATTCTGACGATGCTTTTACTTGGCCGGTTTTCATCCAAAATATCTTAAATTGTGTTCCGAAGACGAACGAAGCTTTTATGGGTTTGGAACGACATGGGGGTAAGTGATTAATGACCAAATTTTCATTTTGGGGTGGAGTATCCCTTTAAATTGCTTTTTTTGTCTCCTGTGACCACTTCTGTTCAGATTTCCCCTTATTTTGGCAAACTGTACATCACTTTTGCGAGAGTGCCAAGTGCAGCACACAGTTGCTATCGACTGAAAGACCCTGTGTTATGCAGATTCCTAGCAATCAGGAAAGGAACTAAAAGAAAAGGATAAAGAAAGCAGCTGTGATTTTTCACCATAATTCATATGTTTTGGTACAACGGAGCAATGTCTGAATTGCTTGTTTTTAGGGATGCACCGAAATGAAAATTCTTGGCCGAAACCGAACAAAATGAAACACTGGGCCGAATACCGAACACGGTTTTTCAAGTTTTTACCCCATGTATTTTGCCAATTTTTTTTTTACCATTGCACAAATGAAATAGCCAAAATGCGCTTTTTTCTGTTTTGTCTTGCTTTTCAAAGAAAAAATCGATTACAAAACAACAATTTAAAAATATTTAACACTGAACATTTTTTTACATTCTAGCAGACATTATACCAACAAAGCACAATTTAACTTAAAATTAATAAGTTAGTAAAATAATATTTTTTTGGCCCCCTTCTTGAATCAGGCATGTATTTTTTTTACAATACAAATAAAAGCAGCCTTGCTGAGCAGAAGAGCCTTCTTTTAAAACATTAGAAAATATTAAAGATCCCAATTTGAACACTACAGTATGTGTGAATGTTATAATAAATGCATTAACAGAGCTGTAGAAATTATTATCATTATTGTCTTTTTATTTTATTTTACTGAACAACAGTAAAATTACAATACTAACATTTATGAATGTTGGTGGAGTTCTTGCTTTTTCTCAACTTTTATTTTGGCGGAAACGTGCAGGAAGACCTCGACGCTTCTTTTTGTTAACAACAGCAGATTTATAAATGAGTCTCTTTACGAATACGCCGCTCGTATCGCATTGTCACGTGCCTTGTAAAAAAAAAAAATCATAAAAATGTGACTGAGGAGTAACAATGTTTCAGCGCAGACTTTCCTCACGCTTTGGACTATGAACCCTGGTTAACAAGCAGATAGCACCGCGAGCTCTTGCAGCGCTGTCAGAATACATGCAATTCGTGGGTGTATTAGAAAACATAACGTTCTGCAGTTTATTTACTAATTGTTTAAGGCCATTTCGCGATTTCAATCATCATACAGTAACCAGCAACAATCACCCTGTCTTCTTCTCATCGAAGACATGTGATGCAGTACGAAACAGTCTCTCGCTGTCGGTGCTTGAAATGATTTTTGCGTCTTTCTCAGACAGTTTTAAATGCTTCCACACTGCTGACATGTTTGTTGCATTGCGCCTCTCACTCTACTCTGGTTGCTATTTGATCGCGTCCTTTCATTGTTCGGTAGTTTATTCTCTCTTTTCGCTTATTCGGTCGAACACCGAAAGAGCTTTTTTTTGCTATTTTTGGCCAAATAATTTCTGTTACCGAACATTTGGTGCATCCCTATTTAAATGTATGGGTCGGTAAGTTGTTTTTGAAAGAAGTCTCTTATGCTCACCAGCCTGCATTTATTTGATCAAAAATGCAGTAAAAATCATGTCTGTTTCCCATCATCCTTCAGAAATCAGTCTAATATGCTGATTAGTGCTCAAGAAACATTTCCTATTATTATGAATGTTGAAAACAGTTGTCCTGCTTAATATTTTAGTGGAAAACGTAATATATTTTTTTCAGGATTCTTTGATGAATAGAAAGCTCAAAAGAACAGGATTTGAAACAGAAATAGTTTGTAACATAATAAATGTCTTTACTGTCACATTTGATCAATTTAATGCATCCTTGCTGAATAAAATGATTCATTTATTTCAAAAAAATCGTACTGATTTTGAATGGCAGTGTGTATCTTCATAAAAAGGTTTCAGCTCCATTTCCTTCAAAGAGAAAATAGTGATGTAATGAGGTTGTTTATTGTATTAACATAGCTTTTAGCTGGCTAAGTTATTTCTAACTTGAAAACTATTCAGTGAAGCACTCAAACCAGTTATAAAAAACAAGCATGGTGTGTAGCTTTTAGGTGTATACATAGAAGTCATTTAGGGACAAAAGTCTTTTTTAGCTATTTTTTTATTGCATACATTTTGTGAGAATCGTGGCCCTAATGCTTCTATTCACTGTCATCAGCAACTTTTTATAACTGGATAACTTCTTAGTACTTTGCACTATATGCATGCCCTATTGTGTACATGTAAAAACCAAAGTACACTTTGGGCTTCAGTTATTGAACTTAGCTTTGTGCACTGAGTGATATTACGACAGCATTTTGGATGTAGGCTTAGATATTCGTCAGCGAATTGTGAGGTTACACTAGATGAGCAAGATCTGACCTTTCTCAATTTGATGAGGTCTTCATCACCTCGACATATAAATTAGACATTTTAAACGCCACTGCTTATCAGGAAAAGCTGTTAATATTTGGTTGAGCGAAGTCCACAATCTTGCAAGAAAGAATTCGTTTAGAAAAGGGATCGTTCACCCAAAAATGAACATTCTGTCATCATTTACTCACCCTCATGTAGTTCTGAAACCTATGATTTGACCTTTTCTCTGGAACATAAAAGATATTTTAAAGAACAGTGGTTTCTCAAAATATCTTTTATTGTCCACAAAGAAAGAAAGTCATACAGGTTTGGAATGACATGAGGGTGAGTAAAAGATGACAGAATAATAATTGGTGAACTATCCCTTTAAGATGATAAATGCCAAAAACATAGACACATAAATGGAAACTAAGGATTTGAGGTGGATCTAATTGTACAAGAGAAAGATCAGTTAAAGAACGAGAGGCTTTCAGGCAGGTGAAGTTACTGAGAGCCTGACTGCAGCCTCGGGAGGAGAAGGAGGGCAGCGCAGGGAGGGGAAATGGAGATGGATTTCCCGTAAATCAGCTCTATCCAATCAGAGCGCAGCCACTCTCAACATGGCAGAGCGCCAGCAGGATCAATCGTTAGAGGTGTAGCTGACTAAAAGAGAGAGAGGAGGGACCGGCTGTGATAGTGTTAGTACACAAGTGTTTGGATCATATCATACGAGATCTCGCATGCTTTGCTCTATGCATTTGAAGCTGCATTTAAAAAGCGGTACGTTTTCTTCTCTCTCTTTTGCTTTTTCTTGTGAGCCTGATTAAAATGGGCGAGTTTTGCTAATGAATGCAGATGGCTGTACTGTAATGGAAAGGACAGTAAGCACTGCCGGTCTCATGATGTCAGTCTCTGCTGGGGTCTCATGTGATCATGCGGTGTGAAACTGCTCTCAGTGTGAGGAACTACAGGCTGCTCGACTGCAGGACTTTCTTGCAACATTTTTCCATTGCTCATGTATGGAGTGCTGTCAGATGGATTTTTATCTTCCCACAGTGCTGTGAGTGCTCTCTGAAGTCATTTTGATGATGTAACAGCTTCTCCTTTAGCTATTAAAATGGAGGATTTGGCTCCTTGCAGCCAATAAGCCTTTGGCAGCGTCTACACGGATGACGTTGGTTTTAGATGGAGGCCTGTTTTCTCTTAGTGTAGAGGTATAAGAGAGAGAGAGGGAAAGGGAGAGTGTGGGACAGATTAACTGGGGTCATATAAAGGCTCACTGATGCAACATGATGTCATCGTCCATCATGATGTTTCAATGTAGACATCGTCCGATGCCAATTTGGTAGACATCGCCCAACCCTAGTGGCTATACAGTTGCTAAGGTGATCTGAGTGGCACAGTTTTAAGGCATCATTCATGTTCAAAGAGGCAAGATGTAGACCAAAGTTTAATACTTTGCAATACAGGCTGTTGATGCAGTTGAGGAGTACCTAAAGAAGGCCAAGGGGAAAGATCAGGGTAGGATATTCACAAATTTGTGGTCTTGTTTCCATCTTGGCTTTTCCGTGATCTGGTCATAAGCGGTCAGCTGAGGTGCATACTGTTTTCTAGCTGGTATTAAAGGGATACTCCACCCCAAAATGAAAATGTTGTCATTAATCACTTACCCCCATGTCGTTCCAAAACCGTAAAAGCTTTGTTCGTCTTCGGGAAAACAATTTAAGATATTTTGGATGAAAACCGGGAGGCTTGTGACTGTCCCATAGACTGCCAAGTAAAATACACTGTCAAGGTCCAGAAAAGTATGAAAAGCATCGTCAGAATAGTCCATCTGCCATCAGTGGTTCAACCATAACGTTATGAAGCAAGGAGAATACTTTTTGTACACGAAGAAAACAAAAATAACGACTTTATTCAACAATTACAAAAAGTATTATCGTCGCTTCATAACGTTACAGTTGAACCACTGATGGCAGATGGACTATTCTGACGATGCTTTTACTTGGCCGGTTTTCATCCAAAATATCTTAAATTGTGTTCCGAAGACGAACGAAGCTTTTACGGGTTTGGAACGACATGGGGGTAAGTGATTAATGACCAAATTTTCATTTTGGGGTGGAGTATCCCTTTAAATTGCTTTTTTTGTCTCCTGTGACCACTTCTGTTCAGATTTCCCCTTATTTTGGCAAACTGTACATCACTTTTGCGAGAGTGCCAAGTGCAGCACACAGTTGCTATCGACTGAAAGACCCTGTGTTATGCAGATTCCTAGCAATCAGGAAAGGAACTAAAAGAAAAGGATAAAGAAAGCAGCTGTGATTTTTCACCATAATTCATATGTTTTGGTACAACGGAGCAATGTCTGAATTGCTTGTTTTTAGGGATGCACCGAAATGAAAATTCTTGGCCGAAACCGAACAAAATGAAACACTGGGCCGAATACCGAACACGGTTTTTCAAGTTTTTACCCCATGTATTTTGCCAATTTTTTTTTTACCATTGCACAAATGAAATAGCCAAAATGCGCTTTTTTCTGTTTTGTCTTGCTTTTCAAAGAAAAAATCGATTACAAAACAACAATTTAAAAATATTTAACACTGAACATTTTTTTACATTCTAGCAGACATTATACCAACAAAGCACAATTTAACTTAAAATTAATAAGTTAGTAAAATAATATTTTTTTGGCCCCCTTCTTGAATCAGGCATGTATTTTTTTTTACAATACAAATAAAAGCAGCCTTGCTGAGCAGAAGAGCCTTCTTTTAAAACATTAGAAAATATTAAAGATCCCAATTTGAACACTACAGTATGTGTGAATGTTATAATAAATGCATTAACAGAGCTGTAGAAATTATTATCATTATTGTCTTTTTATTTTATTTTACTGAACAACAGTAAAATTACAATACTAACATTTATGAATGTTGGTGGAGTTCTTGCTTTTTCTCAACTTTTATTTTGGCGGAAACGTGCAGGAAGACCTCGACGCTTCTTTTTGTTAACAACAGCAGATTTATAAATGAGTCTCTTTACGAATACGCCGCTCGTATCGCATTGTCACGTGCCTTGTAAAAAAAAAAAATCATAAAAATGTGACTGAGGAGTAACAATGTTTCAGCGCAGACTTTCCTCACGCTTTGGACTATGAACCCTGGTTAACAAGCAGATAGCACCGCGAGCTCTTGCAGCGCTGTCAGAATACATGCAATTCGTGGGTGTATTAGAAAACATAACGTTCTGCAGTTTATTTACTAATTGTTTAAGGCCATTTCGCGATTTCAATCATCATACAGTAACCAGCAACAATCACCCCGTCTTCTCATCGAAGACATGTGATGCAGTACGAAACAGTCTCTCGCTGTCGGTGCTTGAAATGATTTTTGCGTCTTTCTCAGACAGTTTTAAATGCTTCCACACTGCTGACATGTTTGTTGCATTGCGCCTCTCACTCTACTCTGGTTGCTATTTGATCACGTCACTTCATTGTTCGGTAAAGTTTATTCTTTCTTTTCGCTTATTTGGTTACCGAACATTCTGTGCATCCCTACTTGTTTTGGTGCACCTTCTCACAACACATCCCACAATGATTAAGTATTAGGTCAGTAGGCGATATTTTGTGGCTGTTCATTCACATGAACGTCTACACTACAAAAGCAGTCCGCTTCATGTTATGTTTCCTCATGTTGTTTAAACTTTGTTTTACAGACACACTCTGATGACAAAAGCAAGTCAGATAAAGGGCGTAAAGCAGCTAAACCAATGAAGATCATTGAAGAAGATGATGAAGATGCCTTCAAGGGTGGCTCGTCAGACAAGGTTGGAAGATAATGCTTCACCATTAAATGGCATTGTGGAGGGGAAGGGTTAGGTCATAACCCAACACATTTTTTGTCAGCTTCATCAAAGTCCTTTGCTAAGGCCATTTGCTGTTGCACCTGTTGTGGAGTCGGGTTACAATTGTATGTTTTAGAGGTGGATTTGTCAAGCGGGACCCACCCGTTCAGTGAGACTGATGTCATCTTTTGCAGTGTGACCAGTGTATCCGCCTGGCCATATTTTGACTGGGTCAAGATGCAGTTATTTTAGGGCTTTGTTTCATGAGATAAAGCCATTCTGTACACATGGTGAATGTGTCTCTCTTTCCCTTAAGGAACAGACTGATTCTGACCCAGAGCCATCCTCTGTACGACGGCTGGTCGCTGGAACAGTATCAGGATTCAAATGGGAGAGCAGTGTAGGTTACATTCACAGTTTGTTTCTGCCCTTTTATGGGATCTGCACATATGCCCTTTTTAAGTTACCAGTAAGATGTACCCACATGCTGATTTTGGTGCAGTTACAGCTGTGTCTTTTCATAGCAGCTGCACAGCTGGTGTGAAAACGCCTCATTTTCAAAATGCATGTCATTATGTCCTTCACTATATAGTTGCACCTTTCACTATGTCGCTGTAATTAGCTGCAGATTAAACAACTGTCAGGTCAGTAAGTCTCTTTTGAGAATAGTTTCCAATTTAACTCTCTTCCATTATAGCCAGTAAAGGATGACCCACATTTTCATCACTTTCTGCTCAGCCAGTCTGAGAAGGTAAGGAGACTTTTTGCTGGGATGCTGATTGATTTTCCTAGTTAGTGCAACCTTACCCCTATCTCTTGCACATTGCTCACAATGGCTGCTCTAATAATTTCTGAATACCTTTCTCCCCCAAACTGCTTCTGGCAATGCTAGTCGGCTGAATCTGCAGCATGGCAGTTGTACTGAATTTTTTACCTAACAGAACAGACGGCGTTAAGCTTATTGGTTAATCCTCTTGAGATTGTGAGCTGATATTTACTCAACTTTACTGTTTAAAAACTATTTTTGGCTATGGTTTTGTACAAGGTCTTTGTCTCAGTTGTGGTCAGGGTCCAAAATGAACACTTCTTATTTTAATCCAGAACTCCACATGGCTAATTATTTACACTACCATTTAAAAGTTTGGGATCAATAAGATTTATTGTTTGAAAGAAAGTAATACTTTTATTCATCGATGACGCATTAAATTAATCAGAACTGGCAGACATTTATAGTGTTACAAAAGATTTCTATTCCAAATAAATGCTTTTCTTTTGAGCTTTTTTTTCCCAACAAAGAATCCTTGAAAAAAGTAAGGTGGTTATTAAATATTAAGCAGCACAACTATTTTCAACATTATTAATAATAAAAAAATGTGTCCTGAGCAGCAAATCAGCATATTAGAATGATTTCTGAAGAATAATTTGACACGGAAGACTGGGGTAATGACTGCTGAAAATTCAGCTTTGCCATCACCAGAATAAATTAAATTTTAAAATATATTAGAATACACAGTATTACTGTTACTGTATTTTTGCACAGATAAATGCAGCCTTGGTGGGTATAGGAGATGTACAAAAACTTCAACAACAACAAAAAAAATTGTTACTGACCCCAAACTTTTGAGAGGTAGTGTTCACAATATTTCTGCAACCATTTTATTGAGTTATTTTCAAGCTTGTGCTCAAAAAGTGGGGTGATAGTTAACAGACCACTGAAACAATACTGTCAAAAAAAGAAAATCTTTTTTTTTATGCCACAGCAGTTGTAAGCTACAAATTATGGTCAAAAATAAAATTAAATATAAAAATATTTAAAATAAATAAGCAGTAAAAAAATATTTATGGCCATAGGTGTGGCAAAAAGTTAATTTTGGACTCTAGCTATGGTTGCACAGTTTGTTAGCGTGTCTGAATAATTGATTGAATTGATGGAAAAAATGTATTGGAAAAGATTGTTTTCAGCCAGCAAAGACGCCCAGCCAAGATACTCTTGTGCTTCTGTTCATGTGCCAGTTATACCAGCAAACTGTTTAAATGACTCTTCCTTTCCTCTTGGCACTTCCTCTTCAGGAGAACATTTCCTTCTTGCTTGTCCTTTTGCCCTTTTGCTTTCAGGCGCCACAGTCAGAAACGAATCGATCTTAAAATTATATCTCCAAAAACGGAGACACTGAGATCTTAATTGCCTGAGGCTTTTCTCAAAAATGTTCATTTAGGCTGCGTCAGCCGTTTTCTTGCCCTGTATAAGTTTCAGTTAAACTGAAACGGAGCATGTGGCTGAGCATGATAACTTGATTTTCAGTTCCTAACACTGGCTTCGCTCCTGGCTCTCACATCAGATATGGCAGAAAGAGCTGTGTGACATAACAGCAGAGGATAATATAAGTGCAATCCTTACTGGAAGCCGACAGAGCCATGAATAACGTGCACTTAAGATCATTTGTGACTGTTGGGCCAAAAGGTTTCCACCTGGTTTTCCTCCCTTGGCTCTGGACTTGGTGTTTTCTCCTTGATGTGTATCTAGGATACTTTGAGTGCAAGACTATTTGCTATTTCTAGACAATCTGAAATGAATCTGTTGAATTGTCTTTGATTGACTTTTCTTTTCCCTTTTCTTTACAGCCAGCTTCATCAATGGAGCCCATCACCAAACGCTTAAAGATAATCGAGGAGGTGAGTGCTGTCTAGGATTTCATAGCGTGTGGTTTCTTCATTTACCTGCCAATTAGCCAGCTAGCATTGCTTGGTAATTTTAATAATTGTGTATTGTCTTCTTGAAAAGGACACAGGATCAACGTCTATTCAAGCAGCAGACAGCACAGCCATCAACGGCAGTATCACACCTACAGACAAAAGGTAATAAGAAAGGATCCTGTTTCTAGTGGTCAGAAAAAGTGGGGGTCCAAATGTCTGAGACCACACTGAAATTCTGAGATTTGGGATCTCACTGTTTTAGGTCACTGATGAACAATGCTCACTAAAAAATATATATTATTAATATTATTATCAGTGTTATTATAGTCTTATTTGTCTGCTGTTATAATAATTATTAATATTTGAATGGCCTTTTTTAATATTTTCAGTTTTTCATAGTAATTTTGTGTGATTTTGTTAGTTTTATTTTATATTTAGCTTTATTTTTATTTCAGTTTTAGTAATTTCAGTACTTGAATTTAAAGTTGTTGTTTTTTTGTTGTTGCTGTTATTTTTTTATTTAAATTGTCTGCATTTGAATTCGTACAGTTCATCCTGTTCTGCAGATGCCACAGTGTTCTGCTGACCTGTGTTTTTGTTTTGCATGCAAAAACAAGTGCACTTCACTACCAGTGTAGTCTGATTCACAAACACTCTTGTGAGCTGATTCTTTATTAGTGAATCAAAAAATATTCTGCGACCCAGTGTTTGTTAAACCATTCTCTTAAATCAGTATGCTGATAATACCTGTAATGTTTGTAATATAATTTATTTTTTTTCACAACAGGATAGGATTCCTTGGACTAGGACTAATGGGAAGTGGTGTGGTTTCTAATTTGTTGAAGATGGGGCATGTTGTGACCGTCTGGAATCGCACGGCAGAAAAGGTACAATCAAAGGGTTTAAATATGCTTGCTTCTGACGTTACACTAAGTGTGTGAATGATTTTTCAACTTTTTTTTTTTTTTCATTCTGCAGTGTGATTTGTTCATCCAAGAAGGTGCCAGATTAGGACGAACACCTGCAGAAGTTGTGTCCATGTGCGATATCACATTTTCCTGTGTATCAGACCCAAAAGCTGCCAGAGATGTAGGTCAATGTTTTGTAAATGGCTCTTTGTTTTCAATCTGTCAAGCTGCTCTGTCTTTGGTTTACATGTACAGTATTATTTCTGTTCAGCTTGTGTTAGGTCCTAGTGGAGTCCTACAGGGAATCAGACCAGGCAAATGTTACGTGGAGATGTCAACTGTTGACCCAGAAACCATCACTGAGCTCGCACAGGTAACAACATCATCCAGACGGGTGTTTCGTGACATTACCTGAGAAAGTCCGTAACTAATGCCGAGTTCACACTGCACGATTTTCAAAGACGTCGCATCACTGATGGTTTCACACTGAACGACTATCTGGGGTAGCATTCAGTTGTTGCTGTGGTCACACTGCACGATGGAACGACGACAGGAGGTTATACACCGCATGACTTTACAATAGGAAGAATTGCCGACAGCTCTGTCTGGTGCAGGGTTGCCAGGTTTTCGCTACAAAACCCGCCCAATTACTACTCAAAACTAGCCTGAAAATAGCCCAATTGCTTTCGAGGGGGTCCCCCAGTAAAAATCGCGTTCAGGGGGGTAAAATACAAATTTTTTTGGAGGGGTTTTCCTGGTACAATTCACATTCCAGGGCCTAAATATCACGTTATTGGGGTCGCTTCAACCTGCTGACATAAAAAAAACAACCGGCGGCAATCGTGGATTTGGCAACACTGGTCCGCAAACTACATTTCATATAACTCCTCCCCGAACTTCCCGCTGCCCTGTATCTTGGTCTCTCATTGGTTGTAGGTCATCGCCGATGTGTTTTTCAGTCAGAACTCATTTCACACAGTGTGATTGTGAATCGCCGACAGCTCCAGATATTTAGCATGCCCAATATTTCACGGGCGTCTGCAACGATTCCCTCAGATCGTGTCTTTGATAATTCACACTGCGTGATTGTCACTCGCGTGAACGAGCACCGATTTGCTTCCGATTTCGGGCATTTGTCTGCGATTTCGCAAAACCTGTCAGTGAGTGAAAAATCGGGCTAAAATCGTGCATTGTGAACTCTGCATGAGGTTCATTTGAATCTGTAGGTCATCACATCCAGAGGCGGCAGATTCCTAGAAGCTCCGGTTTCGGGCAGCCAGCAGCTTTCCAATGACGGTATGCTGGTCATTGTTGCTGCAGGAGACCGCAGTGTTTATGAAGACTGTAGCAGCTGCTTCCAGGCAATGGGGAAGACGTCTTTCTTCATAGGTACTACATCATTTCAGTCGTGCTGTGTGGCTGTATATGAGGCTGATGTTGCATGTTTCCACATGATATTAACTTTGTCTTTTCTATCGAAGCAGGGGAAGCAGGAAATGCTGCACGAATGATGCTGATCCTTAACATGGTTCAAGGCAGTTTCATGGCAACCATCGCAGAGGGATTGACCTTGGCGCAGGCCACGGGACAGTCACAACAAACATTCTTGGATATTCTTTGCCAAGGACAAATGGCAAGCACGTTTGTGGACCAGAAATGCCAGAGTAGGCTTACTTGTTATTTTTTTACAATTCTGATTAGAAGCCTCTCTGTATAATAGTCGTTTATAATAGCAGTTGTCATAGTTACTATGTTTTATGTGTTGGTAGATTTGAGTTTACCTTTGAATCTTCCTGCCAATTAACCATTTTCTGTAACATGGTGCTGCTTGGAGATCGTAGTCTTTGGTCTTAATGTGAAACGGTGTCCACCCAAAAGCCAATGTAGTCATTTATTGCACAAATTTAATTACAGAAATTTTGTAAAACATAAATGGAAACTGGTGACTATTAGAATCAAGAGGCAACATAGTATGACAGTTTAACTTTTTTGGAAATATTAAAATGATACTACAATTGAGCTTATTTATTTAACATTTGACCTGTTTCTTCTCAGATATCTTGCAGGGCAACTTCAAACCTGATTACTACCTGAAACATATTCAGAAAGATCTGAGATTAGCTATTTCAATGGGAGATTCGGTTAATCATCCAACACCAATGGCGGCTGCTGCAAATGAGGTAAGACAGCATTAGTATTCGGTAGCTGAATGGATTATAATATGGCCACAATTGATGCTTCATTGAGTTTTGGTAGATTGACCATGTAAGCTAACTAATGTATATATTTTTAGATTCTGTAATGCAATTTGATAGTAATCTAAATTTAACCAAAGAACTGAATTAAACTGTAATATGCATATTTAATTGAAGTATATGGATATTTAATAGTCATTTCCCCTATTTTTACATTTAGATTACTTTTACCAGAATATAATACTCAAAGTTAATCTTTAAAAACACTAATTTAATAAAGCGGTTAAATGTAATCTTTAGCAAATCTCAAAATGAATATCCATTTTTCGTTATACATAATATTGTGATGCCTAAATTCATTTGTAGCATTTAAAACTAAATTTTAGTTTTAGTGTTTTAATTTTTTTTGGCAATAGAATTTAGTATAGATAATATAGAATTTAGTATCTATAGTATAAAATGTATATTTCAGGGGGGTTTTTATCGGTTATTGGCCATAAAAGGACAATTGTTATCAGCTTAAATGTCATTAAACGTTAATTGTTTTTTCTAAGACTAAATGTAATTTCGGCTTATGCTTCCATTTGAAGTAATGCATTATTTCATACTTCTGCAGGTATACAAGAGGGCAAAAGCATTGGACCAGTCGGACAATGACATGTCTGCAGTCTACAGAGCTTATATTCACTAATACGTCCTGGACCACAAACCTCACCTACTTTGTTCCTCTCCCTCTGTCTTTCTCTCCTCTGCTGATGAATTTTGTTGGGCACCAGTGATGTTTTCCCATGTGTAATGGGATCTATTTAGCAGCCTAATCTAAGCATTGCACTGACTGTAATATTGCTGCACGTATGCTCAGTGGGAGGTTATTAAACTCCCTGCAAATGATTATCTTATGATTGAACGTGCAGTGTATTATATCATCATTTCGTTAAGGCTACTGCATACGATGCAGTGTTGTTTGAAGATCCTATGGTTTTTATTTATCATTCATATCTTTACAAATGAATTCCCACATTGTAATTTTCAAAGTTTAAAAATCTGTAAAGTATGAACTTTTGATCACAAACAGGCTTGAGGAGCACGACGAATTAAAAAGCCAATGCATTGCCTTAATACCCATATAAGATAGACAGTATTTATTTTGTCTCTAAAGATTACCATCATGTCAGGTGCAATTTGGCCATACATTTTTTTTA